CCCCCCCCCCCTCCTCGGCTTCAACTTCACCCAACCCAGACAGGCACCTTTGCCTTCTCCACCGCCATACATACCTTCTTCAATTGGAAGCCTCGCCGTAGTGCACAAATCCCACGAACCTGGTACCGCAGCACGTCCCTTACGCGCATTCGACCATAGTATTAACGAACCGAGAGACATCTGCTAGGATGACCTCTCACGGCACTTTGAAGGCGACCTTCGCCGGCCGCGCCGAATCTGCCAGCCATCCGCTCACAGCCTACCTCCTCCGATTGATGGACCTGAAGGCATCCAACCTCTGCCTCAGCGCCGACGTCCCCACTGCACGAGAGTTGCTTTACCTCGCCGACAAGGTCGGACCGTCCATCGTCGTCCTCAAGACACATCACGATATCGTCTCCGGCTGGGACTTCAACCCGCAGACCGGCACCGGCGCTAAGCTCGCCGCACTAGCTCGCAAGCATGGTTTCTTGATTTTCGAGGATCGCAAGTTCGGTGACATTGGTAACACGGTCCAAATGCAATACGTCGCCGGATCGGCAAGGATTATCGAGTGGGCGCACATTATCAACGTCAACATGGTTCCGGGCAAGGCCGCCGTCACAGCTCTCGCAGAGGCCGCCGCAAGATGGCGCGAAAGATACCCTTACGAGGTCAAGACATCGGTTACGGTGGGAACCCCGAGGTCGGAGAGTTTCGACGACTACGATGAGGACAACAACGGGGACTCTTATGAACATACCATTGGCACTCCGCGACCATCAGACGTCAACGGACGCAAGGGCAGCATTGTATCCATCACGACCTTGACACAACATTTCGAACCTGCGCCTTCCCCTCGATTCCCGAGAAACGAGTCCCACAGCTCTGACGAAGTCCTGTACGCCGGAATCGAGGAGGCTCCCATGGACCGTGGTCTTCTCATCCTGGCGCAAATGTCTAGTGCTGGCAACTTCATGAACAAGGAGTACACTGACGCTTGCGTCGAAGCGGCCAGGGAGAACAAAAATTTCGTCATGGGCTTCGTGTCCCAGGAGAGTCTCAATACCGAGCCAGAAGACTCCTTCATTCACATGACACCGGGATGCCAACTGCCGCCGGAAGGTGACGAGGAGAACGGCGCCGTTGCGGGTGACGGCAAGGGACAACAGTACAATACGCCTCAGAAGCTTGTTGAGCTTTGCGGCACCGATGTCGTGATCGTCGGTCGTGGTATCTTGAAGGCGGGTGATCCTCAGTCGGAGGCCGAGAGATACCGCAGGAAGGCTTGGAAGGCCTATCTCTCCCGTGTTGCATAGTCGGCTCGTCTCTTACACACACATGCACAACCTCCACCCTCCTCTCCCTACCCACCACCACCACCACCACCACCACCACCACCACCACCAAACACATATACACACCCAAAGTCAATACCCAGGCGTGTTTTTTTCCATCGTTGTTTTCCAGTCGTACCGACGTCGGGGGGGCTTTTATGCCATATTCTCTAGGGTGCTACTGCCGGTTCATGCATATTCGGTCTTGAAATGGTATTCATGTCGTAGAGGATGGGGATTCGGACTCGGCACTGGGGCGATTTCTTAGACGGGGGGGACTCGGCGACCCGGGAGCCGGGTACAAAATAAAAAAAGGGACCGGCGTTGATTTTCTGCGGGTTCTATACATGCAGCTTTTGTATGCGGACAGTTGCAGTTCATATATCATTGAAATGACAGTCTATGCCACGTTTACTTGTCTATGTAATGGCCCTTGCCTCGATCTCCAAGTTTGCTGCATACCCTCTGGATCGTGAGCAACACCGTCCTCCGCGCATTCCATCGATCCATATCTCTGAGGTGTGGCAGCGATTTCGATGAGTGGCCGGCTCCTTGCTGCTTGCTACTGCTGCTGCTGCTGCTGCTGCTGCTGCTGCCGTTCTTTTCTGAGTAGCTCGTTCTTACTCGGTTTGAGATCAAAGATCAGATCCCTCCTCCAGTCAAGGCAAGGTGTCGGTGATCGGCTATTGAAGAAAGCATGTACCTGAGCTACCCTGAACTGCCGTTGATCGTGCACCTTTCCTATAGCTTAATGTTCTGCGACAAGCTGACGGTAAAGTAGGTTCTCGACGGCATGGTGTGTGGCATGTGGCATCCAAGCATGTCACTACAAAACATGGCACGGGGAAGGGGGAAAGGGAAAAGGGGACAGGGAAGGGGAGACTCGAGGATGGATGTTTGCCCATGGCCCATACCTCCGTAAGGCATGTAGGCGATTGGACAACGGACTTTGACGGACAATGGGCAAAAGTCCTAAAGCCGACAAGATCCATGGTGGGACCATCGCCCGACTCTAGGGGAGACGGGGTCAGGTCCGATCTGAAGGCAGAAGAAGTATACTCTGGGTTGAAAAGGTAAACAGACTCTATTACCACTAGGAGCCTACTGTGTTTTCCGTAGAGAAAAGGAAGAGAGAGAGAGAAGAGAACGACGGGTCGGCGGGCAAGGTTCCCCGGGATGCGACATGTTCTCTCCAAGTCCCGCGATGTATGAGGTGCGAGATTCAAAAGATGAATAAGGCTATCCCCCCCTCCCAAACCGAAAAAATGATGGTGAATTCAAAGCTGAGCAGTGCACCGTTGCCACGCGCACTAAGTAAGATCAAGCAAGGGGCCAGCCGGTGCACAGCACCACCTCGCACACGCACACACACACACACATTCTCTTGACCTCCATACTGTCGCACGGCGCAAACACAACGCCATACGGACGTAAAGTATGTAACGAATTGTCTACAGAAGTACTCGTCGTCCGGACTTTTTATTTTTTTTTATTTTTTTTTCAAGACGACGACGACGATGCCGACGGATCGCTGACGCTGGTCTCTACGGAAGGGCATTGGTGCGACGACATTGGCCGTGTGTGGAAAGTGGACGTTGGGACGTGAGGGAACGTGGGACGTGAGCCATGGGATGAGATCTCTCTCAGTCTCATCTTACATTGATTTGTCGGCGCGCCGTGCCCCTGTCGGCAGGCTGCCGGCCCTACCCCTCCACGCCGTGTGTTTCCTATTGTTCGGGTCCCTTTTTCTCTTCGACCTCCTGAAAGGCGATCCGCGGAAAGACGATGGCACGATGCTTTTTTCATACACTCTCTCTCTTAAACCCCGACTATTACCTTTGCCTGCGTAAGTAACTCCTGCCCTGACCTGGGCGAACACGAACGGTGCGGAACGCGGGGTTTTTTTTTTTTTTTTTTTTTTTTGCTCCTTGCCGCCATGACCTGCAGAAGTCTGTGTGTACAGGAAAGCCGGAGGGAATTCCATATGGCTGCCTGGTAGCTGTGACCCTGGGTTGCTGTCCCCCAAGAACCTCCAAGACTTTCTCAGTGTGACCCCAAGAGCTGCCGATCCAACGTCGAACAATACAGGCAAGGTAGAGGTAGGTGTCCATGTCGGCGAAGAGCCAGAAAGCTTGGGCGGAATTGCGATGGGACATGCTGCAGGTCAGCAAATCACAAAACAGCAGCTAGCTGTCTTTGGAGCATCGTTGCGTGACTCTTGGGACCGGCCGTTCGCTCCGTCGGTGTCGTTAGAGTATGATGGAGTGAGTACCAAGGGGGGTGTGGTGGGATGGATGTATCCATGGATGGGCAATGGATTTTTATTTTTATTTTTTTTTAAATCTGATGTTTTTGTTGTTGATGGGCTTTTGTTGTATCCGGATGGTACTTTGCCCAAGGTTGGTCGGTACATTTTGCCTACATCACACTACCCTACCTTACATTAGCCATATCCAAGTGCCGGCCGGACGTGTAAGAAAAACTATGGGGATTTAGAAAACGCCCTTTGACGACGGGAGTTTCTTATTTTTCTTCTATTCCTCGGAGCTTCAGGGATATCCTACCTATTTTACAATTTACTATTCCGTACACCTTACGGATACCAGGAATCGAAAAGGGCAAAACGAAGATACCTCGACCTACCTTACTGCACGCAGCACCGTGTAAAGTGCCTACCTACCTTACCTTACTCCGTGGAGAGACACTGGAAGACAGGATCAACTCCCGGCCCCACAATCCAACACCGCCGGCCACATGCCTTGCCTGGCTCTTGCCGCAGACCTGGATTGGACCTGGACTGGAACTGGAAGGAGCGCAACTGCCAACGCCAGGTGCTTGCTTGCCTTTGCAGCAAGTTGAGTGAAGTTGCGTGTGTGAGAAGTCGAAGAAGCCTGCCTGCCTATACCTTTTACCTACCTTGCGTGCCTACCCAGCTAAGGTACCAAGGGGAAAGAGCGAGCGCCTGCCACTTCTGGACCCCGGTTGCCCATATTTACGAATACGCTCACCATCGTCTTTCCCAACCCCGATCGAATTACCAACAACGTCTGTTTACCAACTTTACCTTACCTTGCGCAGTTGCACCAGCAGGAGCTCTCTTCTACTGCCCTGGCGTGTCTCCAGTCCACTACTCTACCTATCCTACTCAATCACCAGGTTCCGCTCTCTCCCACACAGTGCCCCAGTGTGAGGCAACATCTGCTTCGCTCGCCGACGAGAGTCACAGGTTGATCGTGGGCGGGTCCTGTTTTCCAACTTTTTCCACCAATTCTGCTTCCGTAATCGTCCATCCCTCCCTCCATCTCTTCCGGCAGCTGTCACCTCGAGGAACCACGACCGAGATCAACATTCACCGGGTTTTCTTGCTTGTTCCGCCCTCTCTATTGTTCCATTCCAGGCCTTGCGCCTGTCTGCGTTACTCTCCGAATAGATACTCAGACGCCCAGTCAACTCCATCAACCCACGTGCCGAGCTCGCGGCGAATCCTGGCGGCTCCCACTTCGCGGACCAAATACCCTGCCTGAACCACTGACACAACCAATCCCCGAGGCGGCGACGGCGCCGACAATTCGAGAGCGTCCTGCCGTTCCCCGAGTGCGTCTCCACGAATAGGACCTTTCAACAACTACGTCCGCCGTATAGTATTCGCCGTATATACGCATACACGCATTTACACGGCCGACCATGGCCGACGACCGGCGTGACAGCTCCGAGAAACCACCCTCGGCGCGGGATGGTCAGAACTCGAGCACAAGTCCAACTCAAACACCGACCCAATTGCAGAACCAGACTCAAGACGCCCGACCGCCGCCCAAGAAGCGCAGACGCGTGGTGATTTCTTGCACGGAATGCCACCGACGGAAGCAAAAGGTCGGTTTGTTATGCCTTGCCCGCAACAATTGTCCCTCCCGCCATTGCAATTTGTAGCTGACACCGTTTTTGTGCGCAGTGCGACCGAGACCTCCCATGCGCCAACTGCAAGTCGCGCAACAAACAGGATGCCTGCAAGTACGAAACGGGTGCGCCTACGGCGAAAGACAACCGCAAGCCGGACGGCGAAGGCGCAAGATCGACACATGTTCAGAGCCTCTCCAATGCCGCCGCGAACTGGGGCTACTCGCAAGCTGGAGCTTCCACGCTCGGTCTGATGAGGAAAATCGAAAGCGCCAACGGCGATGGCCAGTTGTCGCATCTCGGCGGCGCGGCCCACGTCGAGGACCAGTTCGCGACCAAGGAACGATACAAGTCGCTGATCAGACAGCTGCCGGCGAAGGGGTACATTGAAAAGCTCATTGACGTATACTTTCACGAGTTCAACCACCAGTATTATGCTCTCGAGGAGGATCTCTTCAAGGACCAGTTTGCCGAGTGGTCCAACATTCCCTTTAGCGTACTTTCCAACTCTGGACCACAGGCGCTCTCGCCTGACCTGCGAGTATTTCCCGCGCTGCTATTCCAAGTATTGGCGACGGCCTTGTTGACCCTGCCGGAAGGATCGCAAGACTTCTACGATCATCTCAAGTATGCTGGGAACATGACTTTCGAGGACCTTGCCGCGGACTACAGCGAATCTGGCGTCGGCATTTTGTCACTGCTTGGTAAGCGGCAAATCACTCTCACAACAGTCCAGGCCGACTTTCTTCGAGCTGCGTTTCTCAAGTACATGGCAAAGGTTACGGAATCGGTGGGTGAACTCTTGTGCGTGGCTCAAGGCCATCAAAAGCTAATGATGAGTGCAGTGGCATGCCATTGGCAGCGCCATTCGAGATGCTCAAGAGATTGGCATGCACCGGGATAGCCTGGATCCTTCCCCGGCCAGTGATGACACTGGCGATATGCTCGAGAACATGTGGCTGATTCAGCGGAGGAGAAAGCTTTACATGGTCCTCATGACATGGTGAGCAATTGCCGGACGGCAAGGATGGCTATCCATGACTCGGCTGACACCGAACAGGGACATCCACTGTGCGCTTGTGCTTGGACGTCCTGGCAGCATCGACTGGCGTATACTCCCGCCCAGTCTGCCAATAGACGCGCCTCCGCCAAAAGACCGCCGCAAGACGCCAATTGCGCCAAGGGATGACGAGAGAGACCCTCCAACCCCGTTGACTAAGAGCATATGGGCTTTCAAGCTCGTTGGCCCAATGCGCGAGATTCTCGAGCTTGAGCACGACGGTCCGTGTCCGAAAGACTACTCCAAGGTCGACCGGGTACACCAGATATGTATGGAACTCGACGAGGCCACACCCGCATACTTCCGCCTGGAGAATCCGGACACGAAATGGGATGGTAACCCTTTGTGCTCCTCCTGGCTGCAGTCGGTGCGATTTTACCTGCCGCAGATGAATCTCTTCAATCTGATGGCACTGCACCGACCCTACATCTTTAACAGGCAGAAGAGTCGGACAGAGGCGCTCAAGGCCAGCATTGAAATGTTGCATCGGCAGATGCTCACATTCCAAGGCCTTGACGCTGGATCGTGGCGAAAGTAAGTCTTGTGCATCTCCCAGTCAGATTAGGCTAACAAGCGCGTCTAGTTTCTCGCTGTTCTTTGGTAGCTTTGACGCAGTGGTGCTCATGGCGTCGATTTATATCCTGTTTCCCAAGGAGAACCTGGATATGGCAGGCAGCGCCATGCAACACTTCCACTGGACAACGGAGAGGTTTGAAGCGATGCAAGAGCGAAACCCTCTTGCAAAGGCAGCAAAGGGTGTTCTCCAGGCGATATTTAATAAATTTAAGAAAGCAGTAGGAAACCCAGCGCCACCAGCGAGCCTGTCAAGCCTGGCATCCCAGACAACCCCGGCATCGACGGCAGACAACAGCAGTCTTTCAGGCCGCGGATCGGTGTCAACAGCGACAGCGGCCACGGCAGATACGCCAGTGAGCAAGAGCAGTACGGTGGCGACACCGACATCACTGCCCATAGCATCAGACGCGGCATCGGCGTATCCTTTGCCGTCCTCTACCTCGGACTGGAACATACCCAACACCTGGGACTTCACGTCGATTGCGCCACTGTTCCCGATGGGAGACCTCATTTACCACGACCTAAACGGCATACCGGATGACGGATCTCTACCCGCATGGGGAGCCGCGACACCGCCACCGCCAGTGGCCGGGACAACATCGTTTGAAGGAGATTTTGGGAATGACAGTGTGTGGAACTTGCTAAACCAGTACGACCCGTCATCTGTTTGAGCCCCTTACTACGTACGTTATATGGAAGACTGAGGAACGATGTTTGAACCGGACAGAAACAAAGGCCATTTAGGGACATTTAAGCCGGAGCCGCTCGCCTTTAAAGCGGAGTAAGTTATCCGTAACGTCTGCCTGCAAGCTCCTGGAAGAAGGAGCAAGAGGCTCGGATGATTGAGATTGAGGCAGCAAAGGAAAGAGGGACGGCAAGGCGTATTTTGGACGTCGCAGGTGAGAGTCGAAAAAGAGATGGTCAAAAGGTCGCGGCCTAGCGGCGGTTGAGTGCATGACTTAGAGTTGTTGTCATTGGCTGCACGTATTGGTGGGTTGAATTGGAGTTGAGAACTTGAGCGCCTTTCGAGACGGATGATTTACAGCTGAAGGGCACACCCCTGCCGTGATGGGGGATGCTGGCCAGTTAGGTGGGACGACGGTAGGGGGGGATTAGCGCCAGCGGAGTAGGAGCTGCCCTGCCAGTGCCTGCTTACCGGTTCCGTGGTGCCTCGCAAGTTGTCGCTAAAGTAGCATCTCATGCACAAGCGGTGGATAATCAGTCGAGCGAGGTGCAGGCCAAGCACATCGCAGCCATTGCTAGGTAGTCGTCAGTCAGCAGGTAGCCAAGAATGGTCGAGGCAGATACAACAACGAGGATGCATTGATGACCAAATATACCCTATTCATACCCTAACTGATGGCTGCCATGATGTCCATATCCTCCATGGTTCAACATTTGTGTCGTTCGGTGTATCGGGGAATGGAAGGAAGGGTGTCGCCGGTGTCTTGCGGGATGGAAGGTGCGCATATCCTTGCGTCCTATGACGATTAGGACCAGCGGTAAACAATTTTAATTTTTTTTCGTATGCCAGTTTGACAATTTTTTTCCGGGGTCCAGACAGTAAGTACGGCACCAACACCATATCCGTAGAGGAAGAAAAAAAATAATCAATTTGCGCTAGCTAACGACTTGTGTTAGGTTGTGGCGTGTCTAACATCTTATCGGACGCTTGCTTCTTTTTTGCCTTTGCAATTATTTTCCCACGGTTTCTCACATTTCACTTGTGAATACCTTGTTCCCTAATAATTGGAAGTCTACCCGTACCTGCACCTAGGTTGGATCAAGAAGTTTGCCCCCGCCATTTCAATCCCATCCGGCGAGTGAGCGCTCATCCTGCTTTCCGTCTCCCAGGTCCAAGCAGATCGATATACAAGAATCCGGTAGTGGCTTCACCGCTTCCTGTCACTCTCTACTGTCAGGTATCGATTGGGAGAGAAAGCAGACAGCAGACAACAGACAACAGACAATAGACAACAGACGACAGGCATCTTTTAACCCAAAACCCGTTTGTTGCTGCGTTGCTCCGTCTCGCAGACCCGTCTGCAATATTTGTTCGTTTTCTTCCACCTTTTACATACAATCGTCTTATCAACCCTTGTTCGTAAGGTGCGGGAAAGGAGAAGAAGCTGCTCTTCCAGAGTTTTTTTTTTCTTTTCTAAAATCAAAATCTCTCCGGCACCCACCGTTTATTTGACTTACCTCGTCTCAATCTCAGACATATTCGTACTACGCCCTCTCACCCAAGACCCCATCCACCAACCAACCTCCATCCTGAATCCTGGTCTGGTCGAATCCCGATCCTACCCCATTGTCTATCGTCTTGCCTGGCATTGCATCCTCTGCTCTCTCTTAATCTCTCGAGACGCACCATCAGAGGCTTTCTGGCACTACCTCACCTTCAACCCGTCGGTCACACCTCACCTTTCCAGCCCTCAGGTACTACCTCCCTTTACTTAATTACCCATGACTTTTTTCCTGAACCGACCATTTTGAACGTCGTCTCCAGCCCCCAAACTACAGCCCTGCCCGGCTATCAACCTTATCAATCCCATCGCCGATCGACGAGACGTGAACTGCGCTAAGGTAGTCTGAGTGCTTGTCTCTCTTGTCTTTGGCTGCATCCTATTTTGCTTTCCCATTCTTTCACTTTTGTTACCTACCTTATCCACCTGCCTTGGCTTTTTTGCCTTTCACAGCTCCCGAGTTTCTCATTGCAGCTTCACGCAAAGTTCTAGATGTGAGGAAAGGGTTTAGCCACAAGGATTGCTTTCCCCCATATCATCAAACCACCTGTCTGCCTACGCAATTCTCATACATTTTTACACACACACGAGCCTGGTCGACAGGTAACCTCACCTCACATCACCTCTCATAAATCGCTTTCTAAAAGAGACGTTACCTGCTACGTACTGGCTAGGTGCATTTCTTGCTACAGCAACACCTGCAGCAGAGTACACTGTCTGCCTCATCCGGCTGGGCCATCGCACCAAAGCATCACAAGCACACAAGGCAGGCACGGTACTTTCACCTTTTTTTTTCACTACCTACCCAAGCACCAAACACCAAGCAACAAGCACTACGCTCATCCACACATCCACGTCCCGTCCAAGCACAACACTCACTCACTCACTCGCTGGCTCACTCATCCACCTACCGTACCTGCACCTGCACCTCCCGGCGCCAATAGAGAGTGCAGCAGTTGAGACTACCGCCGCGACTTCTTGCCTTTTCCCTTTGGCACACAAGGACTGCAGCGTCCGCCTCACCTTTCTCACTCTTCTTCCTGCTTGGGCTCTCTCAATTCTTATTTCGTTCGCTGAATCTGACTGGTGGCAGAAGAAAAAAAAGCAGCTCCCAGTTACCTTAGCTTGAGGGAAGGAGGGAAAAAGGAAAAAGATGCCCACCACCACTCATACCACGACCACCCGGTCGCCTTTTGACACCAACAACCTGGGCATCAACACCAACAATTCGGCCCCTGTTCTGCCACCTTACCTTCGCACCAGTAGCCAGTCTCCGTTGCATTCTTTTCCTTTCTCGCCGAGCAACAACTTGCCTTCGGCCATCGGAACGGGCATTAAGAAAGAAAAATCATCTACCAAAATGGCCGTGGATAATTCAGAGATCATGGACTTTGTCAATCGGTATCAGAACTTGCAGGGCTACCAGAACGCCAGCGACCAACTGATGAAGGTATGTTTGCGCTTTCCACTTCCCCCATGGGTTGCCATTGCCTGCCCACCCCTCCTCCCCGTTGAGTCTTCAGCGTCTTTTCCACGGCTCGTCTACGTCTGCAGAGAGACCAAAGCTTCCTATCCCTTGCTCGGTACGGTCCCGCAGCAAAGCCACCCCCAGATTGAGCTTGAGCCTGAGCTTGAGCTTTTTGTGGGAGGTCGTCAACTTTTGCTACCGCGTCTAGCTTCAGCGCCTGTTTGGCGTTGGCGCTGCAGCTATCATCGTTGAAGCGCTTCGGCTGCTGATCCCCTATCCATACTTCCCTCATCGCCACCTTTCCGAGCCCGCACTCAATCCACCTGCACGAGACGCGACGAACTACTGTTCCCGTCCATCCCAACATGGGACCGCCCCTCTGAACAAGGTTATGAACCTTGACCAAAGTTACATTCCGCTAACCTCGTTTGATTTTCCACTTACAGGACCTTTTGATATACTGCAAAGAAATCCAGGGCCAATATGCCGATGAAAATCAGATGCTTAAGCAGGAGCTGCGCAATGCAAAACTTGACCTCGAGCATGCTACGACTTCCAGAAGAGAGATGCAACAGGTGCTGCAAGAGCTTGATTATGATAACAGCTACATGAAGGTAGACAGCGGCGCCGCCTGCTGCCCAGCGGCTTCTCCCCCACCCTTTATCTTCAGAGTGACTAAATCTCGCAGAATCGCAATCCCTACGTCTTGATTCTAATTGATGGAGATGGACTTCTTGTACGTAGCCCCGGCTACTGCCTCGGTTTTTCGGTATAATGCTAACCTCGGCGCCTCTAAATAGTTCCAAGAATCGTTTATCAGACAAGGCATCGAGGGCGGCAAGCAAGCCGCCTACGCCCTCCGAACTGCCGTTGCTGAGTACGTTGGCAGCCAGTCGGGCGAGGTTGAAATCGTCGCCAAAGTTTGCGCCAATCTATCTGGTCTTGGACGTGCTATGCGCAGAGATGGGTGCCTCGACAGCGAGTCCGAGCTCAAGGAGTTCTATCTGGGTTTCACACAGGCCAAAGCTTCGTTTGATTTCATTGATGTCGGTCACGGTAAGGAACGTGCCGACTCGAAGATCAAAGGTATGTTGTACTTGCGACTAGATGGCGGTGTTATAGTGACAGATGGGCTAACCTTGCCACAGAGACAACCCGTTGGCATTTGCGAAACTACAACTGCAGACAGATTTTGCTAGGCATTTCCCATGATGCGGGTTATGCCCCTTTTCTCGACGAGATCCTTCAAGATACAGATACTCGCTCGAGAGTCAGTCTAATTGAGGGCGTCGCCACGGTCAGAGAATTGAAAAACACCAATGTTCATATCCTCGACCCGCTGCCCAGCCTTTTCCGAAACCAAAAGCTCATTGATAGAAGTGGCGACCGCGCTGCTGAACGTGCCGAGGCATATGCCAGATCTTCGGCGCAGGGACCAGCTTCGGTACCTTTCTTTTCAGCTCCATCTAGAGCGTCGACATCTTCGCCTGTGATGGTGGCCTCGCCAATCTCACCTCCTGCTACAGTGGCGACGACGGCTTCTTCTTCCTGGGCCGGAGTCACTGCGAAGGCGAGCCCACCACCAGTCATCACCACTCCTTTGGCCAAAATATCCGTCAATGTTCCTGCTCGAAAGGCTCCAGAACAAAAAGTGGCAACACCGGCATGGAACCCTGGCGAACGTGGCATTGACCCCCCCATCCCCATCAACGCAACAGCCATGGATAACATTAAGAAACGAACGGGCAAGGATAAGCTGTGCAATAACCATTACCTGCGCGGTCCTTGCGCCAAGGGCGACGAGTGCTGCTTTGAACACAAGTACAAGCCCAATGCGGACGAGATCAATGCTATTGCCCATTTGACTCGTCTCAACCCCTGTACCAGTGGTCAGGAGTGTGAGGTGGACAACTGCATCTACGGACATCACGTAAGTTTCTATTTTCACCTTTGCAGAACGGTTGTGCTAACAAGCCTCGCAGTGTCCTAGCGTGAGTGGGAACACCTGCACGCATCCGTATTGCAAGTTCAGAGTTGAGGATCATCCACCTGGCACAAAGTTCAAGAATGCCAAGATTCACGAAAACTAAAAGGCCTTGAGAAGCTAATTTTGGAGGGAGGGAGAGACATGAAGACAAAGGAACAGGGTTTGCTTGCTTATAGCACATGGAATTGGCTGTGGCACAGAGAGTGATAGCTCATCTGCTGACGGTCGCCAAACCTGCTGGGTTTGCTTTCGAGAATTAATTTGTGTATGATTAGCTTGCTCGCTGGCAATTTGAGCTTGCCAAATGAGCTTCGTATGGCTATATATGGATAGCTGTTTTCCGGATATTGTTCAGGCCGTGAGGCGCACACAACGCTTGAGTGAGGACCAGTCGTACCTGAGATCTCTGGCCATGGAAAAACCGTTGCCTCGAGCTCTAGCTACGTAGGTCGACAATTTGCCCAGACTGTCACCATCGGATGAGGAGACCTGTTGGCGTTATAGTTGCGACTGCTCACTCCCGACCTCCGCGCCAGCAGCTTGACCCCCGGTGGCTTCTATTTTTGAAGGTCATGAGTTCGAATTACCTCGTAGGTTCCTTTTCTTTTCTGTTCTTGTGACTATTTATTTCTCTGATATTTTGATAATTTGGAACGCGTGGAACGCAAACGAACCATATTCCCGAAGGACGAGTGTTCCTTTATACCTTCGTCTATAAGCTACCCATGAGCTAAGGTGATGTGATGCCCTGTGCCTGCCTGTCTGCCGAACCCCAGCGGGATAGTGGACCCCGCCACTCCAACCCAAACCCCACTACGAGCCGTGGTCTTGCAACCCCACACCCGCCGGCCAAAATCCCAGAGTGGATTAGCAGAGAGAGCCTCCTCTTCAATCGACAACTGTATCCTCACTTCACGTCTCCCACGTCTGATCCCCAACCCCACCACCAACAACAACCACGACGACGACGACGACGACGACGACGAAGGCACCCCGAAGCGATCGATACCTCGAGATTCACGAGCTTCATCGGGTACAGAACGACAAGCGGCGATCACAGATAATCCCCAAGATAATACCACATCACCCCTCCCCCCCCCCAAGACAAACCACAACCATGTCGCACCCACGCATAGAGGAGGTCGAAGACAGCGACCTCGAGGCATCAGACCCCTCCGAGGGCGACATTGACGACTTTGCCGACAATGACATCATGCGCCGCGTCGAGCCCAAGTCAGCACCGCGCGCACCGCAAATCAACCCTTCCACCATCCCCCCCGCCGCCGCCACCGGCCCCCCAGGCCCCCGAGGCGGCTCCGAGTTCCAAACGACCGTCGACCAGAAGCAATACGCCGACTTCCAGTGCCTCTACCCAATCTACTTTGACGCCCGCCGCACCCGCGCCGAGGGCCGCCGCGTGCCCAAGTCCCTGGCCGTAGAGAACCCCATCGCCCGCGAAATCGTAAACGCCTGCGCCGCCCTCCGCCTCCCCACGCTCTTCGAGCCCGCCAAGTTCCACCCAAAGGACTGGGCGAACCCGGGCCGCGTCAAGATCCGCACGCGCTTCAACGGCCAGCTCGGCCCCGACGGCGGCAAAGCCAGCGCTGCCTCCCGGCCCGCCGGGGCGCAGGAGATCAAGAATAAGCACCACCTGTACATCCTCGTCGCCGAGCACCTCAAACGCAACCCGACGACGGAGGAGAGCGCCGCCCTCAAAGCGCGCGTGCAGGGCGCCCCCGCGCACGATCCCAGCAAGCCGTGGCCTAGGCCCGCCGTCCCGCGCGGGTGGAAGATGGGCGAGCTGTTGCCGTACATCAGTCCTGCCATGACGGGCGGCGGCGTCAGCGAGAACCTGTTCAAGGATATGATGAAGGAGATGCAAGGGGGTGGAGATCCGATGGCGGCGCTGATGCAGCAGGCTCAGGGGGGTGCTTTGGGTGGTGGAGGTGGTGGTAGTGGTGCTGAGGAGAAGGCTGGCAAGAAGAAGAAGGGCAAGGGCAAGGCTTGAAGTGGACTTTCAAAGAGAGAGAGAAAGAGAGAGAGAGTGTGAGAGTCGTTAAAAGGGAAAAAAAATCTAGGGGTGGACCTCATTCAAGGAGTCAGTCCTAAGCATCATCATGAAAATTATACCACGGACAACGGTCGGTCAATGGTCAACAGTTAAACGACATCACGGAGGTACAAAGAAAGGGTCGTAGAAGGAAAGCCGAAGGCAACCCAATCAAACAAAAGCATGCTAGACTTGAAGAATAAGGTTGGGATTCAGGGGGTATTTAACATCCTACTAGTCCTTCTGTCACATCGCATCGCTTCCATGATAATCATACTGCCGCCAGTCGGCCCTGTATCCCCTCCCACTCGCGCGATCCCACAATCTGCACATCCCTCCCGCCGCCGGGCACCATCTTGCCGTCCGCGTCCGGCAGACGAATCTGCAATCTCGCTGCCACGCTCTTCATCATCTGTCTCTTCTCCGCCGCCGCCCCATCTTTGCGTCCTAGCACGACCTCGGACTTCTTGAGCACCGAGTTCCGCCAGCTGTTCCACGCCGCAAGGTCTTCCCTCTGCTTGGCCGCGTGGTACTGCGGCGTGCTGCGCGCGGGCTTCCACGCGAGCTTGTCCTTCGGCAGAGAAGCAAGGTCGTAGACGCGAGCCGAAGTTGTGAACTTGACCAGCTCGCTGAGAACATCCTTACCCTCCGCCACAACGAGGGCGCGGCGCTGCTCCACGACGGACGGCGACTTGATGAGCGGCTCCGCCAGCCAGTCGTAGTTGTGCTGCTCCGTCGTCCTAGCGCGCCTGTTGTCCTCGCGAAGATATCGCACGGCTGCCTGCAGGCTCGCAATCTCGCTCTTGAGAGCATCCATCTCGCGCGCCGTAGCAACCGCCCGCTCCTGGCCGGCCTTGGCGCCCGCTGCACCTGCACCGTCCGCGAAAGCCTTGCTGTCGCCGGCAATCTTTTTCCACTTGTCGCGGTCCGTCTCTAGCGTCTTGAGCTCGCGGTCTTGCTTGTCAATGTCCTCCTTGAGACTGGCAGCCTTTTGCTTCGCAGCCTGGATCTGCGCCTCGAGATCCTCAATGCGGGAAGCCTTGGCATTGGCATCCTTCATCCTCGACTCGAGGGTCTCAATCTTGAGGTTGGCCGTGCTAAGATTCTCGTCGCGCTGCGCAATCGCCACGCGGGCTTCGTTGTGCTCCTCCTTAAGGCGGCGCATCTCCTCCTCCGCATCGACGGGGATCGTCTTGATGGCCTTGAGCTCCTGGGAACGAAGCTTCCACGGTGCGGGGCTAACTTCAAACTCTTGCGTCTGAGACAAATCTGCGCTAAGCGCGGCCAGGTCTGAGATCTGGCTAGTAAGAGTACGGAGCCTGGACAGGTATGTTGAGAACAGATCGGACTCGCTTGACATGGTGACTTTAGTGGTGGCCTGGGAGATTGTGTCCTGGACTTCGCGGTATGTGAAGGGCTCGTTACGGCCTTCCTCGTGCAGGAGCGAATGCAAGTCGGAACCGATCTCACGAGCCAACGCCGCCAGCTGTTGAGTAGCATCCTGGCACTGCTCGAAGGACTCCTTGGTCTCTTGCGGCAACGCCAGCGAGCGAGACTTGAGATCTTGTAGAGCCCGCACAGCCTTGCCAGCAATAACCTTGGCACTCCGGGTCTGAGCAACGACAAACTCGGATTTCTTGCTAAAGTGCTGCGCCATCTCATCGTCTTCAGACTCAGAGGGCACAACTCTCTGGACCATTCCACGCAAAGCAGCAAAGGTGGCTCCGGCAGACTCAAGATGGCTCTGCATAACGACAGTCTGCATGTACGTGTCCTCGGCAAAGTCGGGCAACTCGTTGGTGAGGTGGACTTCAGCGAGATGGGACATGAGCGCAATCGTGCGCTGGAGTTCGTCCGCACACTTCTGCTCCTTAAGATCGTCCCGTCGCAAGCCGTCGATCCATCCGTTCAGCGCCCGCTCCACTGGCTCCAGCTCGAATAAGGCGTTCTGGAACCGCTGGAATTGTTCAATCGAGCAGTGGCTGATGGCGTTGGTGAAACGCTCGCACATAGAAGCGACCCATGTAAGTTTATCGATAGCATCACAACCAGCAAAGACGTCGTCCTCGTGGCCAGGGTGAGGCTGGCCATTGACACGCTCCTTGATGAATGACTGCAGGAGCTCGGCCTTGAAGGCCAATCTCCTGAACCTCAGCAAAGCAAGCACAGAGTCTTGGTCCTCCTTGTAAGTGTCGGGCAGGAACATCTTGACAATCTCCAAGTGTTGCTCGGCCTCCTGAGCCTCCAGTCGTCGCAGCTCGAGGTCGATCGTCTTGACTTGCGCCTTGGAGGCGGAGATCTGGAGCTTCATGTTTAGGTCCATCATAGCGCGGGACTTGCTGTTAAGCTGCTCGGATTCCGTCTCAGTGACAGCGTGTGACGCCCGCATGTCCTCGAGGTCGCTCTGCAGGCTGGTGACCAGTCCTCTGAATCGGGACAGGGTGTACTCCATGTCCTCGAGGGCCTCATCCTGCTCGCCCGCCCGTCGCGCCTGCTCCGTGATGACGCTGTCCTTGAAGTCAAGATCCTCTTGCATTTCCTTTTCGTTCTGGACATGGTTGATCTCCAGCTCGTCATTGATTTCCTTCAAGTTCTCGAGGTCTTCGATGACGGCCTTGAGTTCTTCGATTTGCTCAGACATGCTCATGTTACGCTCAGTGAGGTCCTCGATCATATCTTCAGCGCCCAAAGCATTGTCGAGTTGTTGCCGAAGATCCTCAACGGCAGCCTCTGACTGGGCCAACTTTTCTTTTGCCGCGTCAAATTGCTCCTTGACAGTGCCGAATTCCTGGAGATCATCCTCCAAAGTCTTGATTTGATCCTTCAGCTCCTCCTCCTGCTGCTGAGTCAAGTCGCGCAGTCGCAGGAGAGCTTCGCGGAGCCGCTCGTTCGTCCTTTCCATCTGCAACCACCCGGTGCTGGCTCGGTCTTCCGCTGACATACCCTGGCCGAATTCCGCGTTCTCTTCGCGGAGGATTTCCACTTCGAGCTCAAGCTCTTCCGACTTTTGCTTCAGAGCCTCGAGTTCAACCTTAAGAACCTCGGCCGTCTCTTCAGCCATCTCACGGTCCAACGTGGCCAGCTCCAGAGCGGTCTCATGCTCCATCTGCATTGACTCGATCGATTCGAACCGCTCCTCTGCCTCCTTTAATTCTTTCCGCAACTCGTTGTTCTCGCTCTGCTGAGGCTGGTATTTCGCCTGCAGCTTTTCTATAATTGACTGGAATCTGTCTCGCTCGCCTTGGACCTGGTCCAACTGCTTCAGCTTCTCTCTGTCCTCCAACCTCTTTCTCTCAAGCACTTTGAGCTTAGCCTTGAGGTCCTCTATTTCTCTATTCGCAGCGGCGGCATTTGGTGTAGAACGGGCGGTTGTCGCTGGTTTTGTTGAGCTTGTAGGCGTGGTAGACGCCGAGCCTGACGTGAGCTTCTCCAAAGCCTTTGTCCTTGCTCTCACGGGGCTTGTCTCGCCATCTTTGTTGGGAGACGTGGCACCCGCGTCTTCGCCGCTGTCGGCATTCTTTCCAGCCCCCATGTCCGCGGAGGGCCTTCTCGCAGTCCCAGCCGTCCGTCCAGAGATGGAAAGTCGGCCACTATTGGGTCTTCCTGGGGTGGGCCGTGTGGGGGCTGAAGATGTCGAGGGTTGTCTCGTGGTTCTGTTGGCGGGTATAGGCGGAGGTCCCATGGAGCTGCGAGAGGTTCCCACGCTTGGCCGCGTTTTGGCTGCTGTTGATGGTGTACGTGTATTAGACGGTGTGGTAGTTCGCGATGGCGCGGTGCTCGATGTCGCTGATCCGAGCTGTTTTGTGGGCGACTTGGTCGGTGACTGCATGTCCATTGTGAGTCGTTGCTTTTGATATACACAGGTATCTGTACACTTACCCTCAACGTACTCGTCGGCCGAGACACCTTAGGTCCCGGGCTCGGACTGGGAGCATTCAGACTCATCCTTTTGGTCAAACCTGTATCGCTGGTCGTCCTCCCGGCGCCTGGATTGAAGCTGCTCGGCCGGCTAGGCCTGCGAGCTGCTGGCTTCGCCGCCGGAGCAGGCGCCTGGGCGATGATGGCCAATGTTGTCGGGCGCACAAACATGCCATGCCCAAGGGCACAGTCAAAGTACCGTTCGCCCTGGACGCTGCCATCGTTCTTTCCGCTATCATCCTCGAGCTCGATGCCCACCCAATCGCCACTAGCGAAATGCGTTCCACCGGCGAAGCGTACGATGCCAGTCCGGCCGTCTGATAGACGCACCGTCTGGCCAACTACGAGCTCCGACATTATTCCACGACTGTGACTCTACTGGGAGATAACCATGTTCGTTATTGCTGTCGGTTGATCGTGGGGCGTAGGCCAGTCGTTGAGGCCCCGTCGTGATGCGTGGTGTGTACTGGGACGATTACGTTGTGTTTGGATGTCACCCAGGGGGCCATTGGAAGCGCGTCCCAATCGGATAAACGCGCTGGAGCTTGGAGCTTGTTGCTGCTGCGGCGCCTGCGACTAGGCTAACAAGGGGTTTAGTTGGGGTGATGTCAATACAAAGTCAACCCCTGATTGGCTACTTCCTGCCTTGCATCTCAGGGTCTTCCGCTATGAGCTTAAGCGAGACTTTCTAATGGATAACTTCATATAATACCGGTACTCTGTACAAGTGACCGACATCCATCATAAGGCCTTACTAAGAAGACACGAGCAGTCGACGACAACAATGCTCCCTCAAAACACAAAGCAAACGGGCTTCAAAGAAATACACAGCGACATTGTCTCATTCCCTTCAGCGGAACGCTCACGAAATGCATCATTCGATGAAGTAGTCAGTGCGCAGCAGATCGGCTCTCGGCGTAATGCAGGGAGATATCATTTGACCTCTTCAGGGAGTTTAGATGCACTCACTCACTCGAAGCACGCGCTGTCCAATAATCGACTCAATACGTTTGCTCAGTATTTTGGTTTTCCTATCTACGCCTACGCTATGTCAGGAAAAATCAATAGTGCGTCTCAATCCGACAAGAAGGAAATCCGTCGCCGCATTCCGCTGAAAACATCACATTATTAAGTCCGCTTTTGAAGCCATCTCAACCTCGCCCGAACCCCTCTTGATAGCTACCTCCTCGAATCCACTCCACCAACTCAAAAGAGATGCGTCGCTCAGTTTTTTCGTCCAATGATTTATTATGCGCAACCCTAACCACCATCACACCGGCGCCTCGGAACTCGACTGCACCTGCATGAGTGATTTCCTCCTCAGTCACCGACTTGACATAGATGACGAGGTCCGGTCCAATTATTCCCCTCCACAAAGTCGACACCCATTGCCAATGGTCGATCGGGGCATAGCAGTCATAGATGGGTAATGTACAAGCGTACTTGTCAGAGAGGGTCAAGCTGAATCCCGCGGGGAGCAGAGCAACCGGAGTTTTGCTGGGTACCGATATCGAGCTATGTCGAGACCCGACAGGCTCCCCATCCGATGCCCGCCTCGTGAGCGGAGCTGGGTCCGGTGCGAAAGCCGGCTTGGTGGACACGTGCTTGATGATCTCTCGCGACTTCACATGCCACTTCAGGATGCTCTCCATATAGTTAGAGAACAGCTCCGAGGCGTGTAAATTGGGCTGCGAATGGCTGCTCTTCCTGCTGCTGCCGCCAGCAGAGGCCGTGTCGTTCATCCTTGCGTCGTCTTCGGCCGACAGGACAGGAAACGGCGTACTCGGTCCCTCGCTCCACGTCTTCAGATCGATCTCGCTCAAGCCAAGGAGAGAACGATGCACTGCCGTTCCCACCTGCTCCAGCTGTCGAGGATCAGCCCCCTCAACGGCAACGACTGCGCCACGGATCTCGATATCAGGACTGGTCGGTCCCGGCAGAGCCAAAGTTGGACTGATCTTTTGCAGGACCTTCAGCTTGCTCCAGAAAGGAATCGTCATGATCATGGCCTCGAGGCTTTGAGCATATCTATCTCTCGGGTTTGCGATCCCCATGCCAGTCATTGGGTATGCACTCGGGCGATCGTTTGTATCGTTGTCTCTGTTGAGTGGCGGAGATGACTGGGTCTGGAGGGGTGGCAGTCGAAGACTCTCATCGTAACCAGGGCCGCGGCTTGGCCCCGCGTTTGCCGAGTGGGGCGGTCGCGGAGGAGGGGGCGCCATGTTACTATACCCGGGCCTCGCAAGTGATGATGGACCGGGCAAAGGCCCGTAGCCGGCTACCGGCGGCGTAGGAGGCATACTCACCGACGACCTAGGCTGCCTCGATAGAGGATGGCCTGTGTATGGTCCGGATGAAGGGACTGCCTGGTAATATCCCGTAGGGGGGTTGATTCGGCGTCGTTTGAGCTCGGGGGATGGCGACATTGGTTCATATTCGTCTTCCACGTCTCGCAAGTTGTTGTGTTGGTGTTGGTAGGGCTGTTTCCCTCCAGGTAAAGCACGCCGGAGGTGATCGCTGTCCCCGCTGCGAGCCTCGCTCGGGTGATGCGGCTGCATTTTTGGTTTTGCGGCCGTCGGTGTGCCTGCTGGTGTCGACGGCGTTCTCGGCGTTGCGATGAATCTGCCACCACAGTTGGGGCACCGTCCTGGATTAGTCGAGGCTGACGATCCAGTTTGACTCCTAGATCTGCCCCGACGAGGCTGATAGCGGTAACCTGGGTGACTTTCTGCGTGCCGTCTCTTCTCCTCTTCTCCAAGTTGCCTCCAGATCTCCTTCTCTCGCGGGTCCTGTGATTTCCACCGCTGTCCTATGATTTTGGATATATCTGGGTTGGAAAGGCCTGGGAATTCGTTGGAGACGGTAGCCTGGTGGTGTTGTCTATACAGTATGAAGGCTATCAAAGAACGACGTTAGTCAACGGACATTGCACAAGTGTCTAGCAGTCTGCTCAGATTGTCTAATAAAGAAGAATTCCCGGAGGTCAGTCTCAGACCAGGCCTGTGACGAAGATGCGTCGACCGATGATGCGGGATGAAGAGTGAAAAACGTGCGACTCACGGTTGCGAGGCCTTGGGATCTTGAGTCCGGGCGTGCAGAGACAGATGGTGTCCTTGCCGCTCTGGCTACTCATCGGTCTGGTCTCTAAGCTGAGGTTCCTCACTTTGGAGGTATTCGCTTCCTCGATATCAATGGAGGCAACGCGCTTTCTGCTCGCGCGACTGCCAGCAGAGCCTACTGAGTTTGGTCCCTCGTCCGTCTCCTGGCTGGCTCTTCGTTCCATGGCCGAATGGGCAGAGATGGCACCAGAGGAAGAGGTTGACCGCCGTGGCCGAGGCGTAGAGACCACATCTGTCATCTTTTGGGTTGTAAGGGTTTGCAGGAGGTGTGCAAACAGATGCGAGTTGGGACTGGGTACAAGTGGGCGAGGCGACTGAAGCTATGAGACGTTTGGACTTACACCATGCTTCGGAAGGGGGGCGTTTGAAGAAGCAGAAGAGACAGGGGGTGTATGTACGTTGTCGACGGTGAGAGACACGACGGGATGCTAGGGTTGAGTTTGGGTTCGAATAGTGTTGGCGAATCCGTGTAGTTGTGGACTTTGGCGAGCAGGAAAGGCAGCAATGATTTGAGAGACGTGGGAGAGACAGGCGAAGCAGTATATCGGTAAGTTGGAACGAGACGAGACGGGACCGAGATCACTTTTGTTCGATGACCGATTGTCCGTTCCGACCTTTTTCCCCCCTTCTCCTTTGTGTTATCGAGACGACGACTACTCATTCAGCAGAAACCGAGCAGACAATGACCGTCTAACTCAATGACTTTATGTTCAAAGATGGAGGTGGCCATTATGGGGAAGAAAGAACATTAGGGTAGGTAGGGCGGTTGGTACGATGTCGTCGAGACGGTAGCGACGAACAGCGACCAGCGTCAACAACAACGTTTGACCGACGGCGAGGAGCAGGAAAGGAGATGGTTCTGAGTGGTGAACAAAGGGAGAGGCGGGAAGGACGAACGAACAGAAGTGAGGAAACGGAGCAGAGGTAAGAAGGGTAAGCTCGCAAGAGAGAGAGAAAATGTTGATCCTTTTGGGGGGTGGGAAATGTGTCTCGGGAATGTACCGGAGACCCAAGGTTGTTGCAGATGAGGAAATGGGATTCTTTGTGAAGAAGCGTTTGCCCTGTGGTGGCCGGTGCCCGCGTCGTCTCTGTCTCTTCTTTGGGACTCGCCCAGGCGTTCCGTTCGCATAGAGCGTTGGAGACAGAGAAACAGAGTATGGGCCAAGGAATGGGCGAATATGCCTTTCTTTCCCTTAGACCTTGAGAACAAGAAATAGGCAACGTTCGGGTCCCAAGTCCGAAGATGGAGCCGTAGAAGGCGGAAAAGGATGCGGCGGTAGCGAAAGCGACCCAGACGGGGACGCAAAAGGATGAATAATGACTAAAAGGTATGAACAACGACGAGACACGGAGACGCGACTTTGAAGAATATCCCTCCACATCCAACTTCAAGTCTTGTTTGGTGAGGATAGATAGAGGTTTACCCTGGCTGGATGAAAGACGAGGGAAGCTATGTGCTGCTCAAAGCAGTCTGGATTTCGCATCCCCCTCCCCTCCATGTTATTTTAGGCATTTCCTTCCTTTCATGTCATCAGCAATGCAGTCAAGCCTAGACCATCTACAATGCCCGTCCCGCATGTGTTGCTGCTGCTGCTGCTACTAATGCAGCAGCCGCTGCCTCTGCCGCCGCTACTGGGCTCTTCCTCCTGCCCCCCTGCTTTGCCAACCAGTCCCTCTCTTCAAAGGAAGCCGTAGACCGACTGCAGACTCATAGGCCGGGGGGGACGTCAGAAACAATGACCCTTGGGTGGGTGTGGCCAGGATCAGAATGAGGACTGTGTACCGGGGGCAGAAGATTAAAGGCGGCGGCAAAGGAATGAATGCAAAGAGAGGATGAGAGCGCTGTGTTCCCCGGTTGGAATGTTCAATCATAAGCCCGCCCCGGTAAAGGAACAAAGACAATGTAAAGAAGTCTGTCCCCTCCCTCTCCTCACTCAACCCCCGGCCGAAAGTAGGCTAGGTTGGTTGGACACATCTCCCACGTGATGAAAAGAAGGGAAAGGGTGGATAAGCTGGGCCGATGAGGAAATTCCTCTGCTTCATTCTTCTGTCTGTTGGACACTAGAAATTTTAAAATTTGATCGGCAGGACACAATGCGTTTGGCGTTGGTGATGTCTCTGATGACAGACGCAAAAGTATTGACGGATGGGAGGGGGAACCGGGGTTCAGAACGGGAACTCTGGGAGAGCAGCCAGAAAAAAAAGACAAGACGCGGTGAAGGACATTTTCCGTCAAGTTATTGTTAGGAAAGAATAGCACTGGCATTGGCACTGGCATTGGCGGTGCGTGGGTTGTCTCTCGTTAAACTTGCGTTTTTCTGGTTCGTGGCCTGCAATGTCTCAAAACTTTCGGGATGGGCGGTTCTATTTTTTCCTCATCTGGAAAGCTTGACAGTCGTTTTGTTTTGCAAACAGCGCGCTCTCTTCTTCATAGTCCAAACCTCGGGATGCCCAGTCGTGCCGAGTGGGATAACGTGAAAAGGATTCAATGCCTTTGCTCGCAGCTCCAAGGCGTGCGCCATGTCGTCTAACCACACTCGTACTCGGATTCAAACACATACAGTCGAGTCCCCCAGACCGCTTGTCGACAAATGACTGGTCCTCTCTCCCAGATGAATATCTCATGTCAAAGAACAACTCCATGGATTACCTGTTGGTCTCGATAATTGTAACAAGTTCTTTTTTACAACGCCGCCGCCATCCTTCATTCGAGGAAGAAGCCGACATGGGCTCTACAACTTCTCCTCGCGTATCGTCCCACCATCATCTCTTGCGCTCGTCTCACGAAATGTATCCTTTGCCGCTTTCGCTGCTCAAGAGACTGGCGCTGCGCCGCGAATCCAAAAAGAGGTCTTCGCACTCGGCCACGTCCTGGACGTCGATTTGGCTGCGGCCGTTTGCTTTGGAAAGAATGCTTTCATTGGAGTTAGCTCACATGTCTCACACTAGCCGGTCGATCCATGATCCACAACAGAGAGGGGATGGGGGAATAGCTTTAGGGATGAAGCAAAGGCGGTGGGAAATAGGGCAATGTTGTCATGGTTTGGTTCACCGTAGACTCACCTGGCGGGTGTCAACAGCTGCAGGCAGTACCGCAAGCTGATGCGGACGCCGTGCTCCGCGATCTTGTCCAGGGCGGCATCGGTAATAGGCACACCCTCGGTAGTGGCCCTGATGCGAACAATACGCTTGATCTCATCGGCCTGGTACGGCGTGGTTGGAATGATGAGCATGCGGGTCAAGAAGTCTGCCGGAATGCCGTGCGCCGCGACAATATCATCCGTGCCGCGAAGCGTGGCCATTCCTCTGTTTGATGCCAGAATGACAATCGGGGCAATGGGCGACTCCAGAGCCCGGTTCAGGTACGTGAAACACTCGACATCGAGCATGTGTGCCTGTCGTGAATGATTAACCCACGAGTCCCAACCAATTCCGCCAGACATTCAAACAGTTCTTACCTCGTCGATGAAGAGCACACCCGGCACGAGCTCCGCAACACCTTGGTCAATGTACTTGCTCACCACCTTGTTAATCTCTCCGCGCAGCTTGTCCGTGATCTCAGTCATCTTGGGCTTCATCAGCTGGCCCATCATGCTCATGATGTCTTGACCACCCTGAGGCCGTGCGTTGGCAACATCGAGGTCGTGAAGCGTCACATCCTGCACGATCTCCTTCTTCTTGTGCACCTCGCCCTTGGGAATGGGTACGTATTCTTCGGCCTCGAGGTCGAACTCGGTCGCATAGGCATCTGATCTTCCCACGCGCTTGCAGGCGCCCGTGTTCGCCTCGATATAGACGACATCTCCCACTGAAACTCTCTCCTTTTGAATGGCCTCGTATATGCTGGGATCCAGGCGCAGTTTCTTCTGTCCCTTTGCGCTCTTCAGGCCAATCAGGAGTGTACTGATGGTTTTGCCGTATCCCCCCAGAGGGTTCTCGGCTTCCTCAGGCGTAAGCTCCGTAACCTCGCCTTCGTACACTTCCTTCGTTTCCCGAACCTTCAAGCCAATGGCCCGGCGGAAGTTCTCCATCAACATCTCTGTCTTCTTCACCTCTGTCGAGTAAATTTCGCTGCCGACAATCGGGCAGAAGGGGATCTTGGTTCCGAGTTCTTGGCTGACGGCGAGAGCGAGGGCCGTCTTTCCTGTACCAGGTCCACCTGCTAGCAGAACGCCACGGCCGGCCATCTTGTGTGCTTTGATAAGGTCAACTACAACACCAGCTGCCTGTCGCGAAGTTAGTGATTGCCTTGGTATGAGGTTGTGACCATCAATTATCAACGCACCTCTCTTGCCGTCGCCTGGCCGACGAAGCCAGCGGCTTGCTTCTCTGCTGTGCCATCCTGCTTCAATCCCAGTCCCTTGATGTGGGTGTGGGCAGCCGTGCGGTTCTCGCGACTGTTTCCCTTAACCTCGCTGATTTGGACCATCTTTGCGGCGGAAGCGTCGGTTGCCGGCGGTCAATTCGTATGGTATCGACAATTCAATCGTGTACGGGAAAGTCGATCGGAGTGTCGGCAAAAATGTCGCGGTCGTGATTGATCGTTGGTCTTGGGGGGTGGGTGGTTGGTGTCAGACAGAATTGGATGAAGCTCCAAAAGATTTTGGGGCGACGCGCCTCAGTCTATCCCTGCAAACTTCCAGGCGCACAGTGCAGGCGCCGACTTACACATTAGGAATCGGGTGCCCCACACGTGACCTGTGGATAGCTTCCCGTTTGCGCCTCATTCAACTTCATCCAAACCACTTCAGCTTATTCTCACGCACTTCACCAATATTTTGGAATCTCATATTGGTGTAATGCTCTAAATTTCAGGCTAAGTTTTGTTTTACAATTTTTGACGACAAAAAGATTGAGTCAAGGGCCGGCCACCGTACCAAATGCTGTCGTGAAATATACGGACAGAAGCAACTTCTTCTTATTTCGCCAAAGACTTCAATCCTAAACAGCGCCTGGCGCTTTTCAAATATCCTGTAGAAGTGGAAAGGTTCGAAGTTGCACAACATGTCTTTCACGAATCGAAAAATTTCTCATCGGACCATAAAGTGCGATCGAAACCGTCAAACCCCATGTGCGTAAGTCAACTTGACTCAAATGCTAATTTCAATCACGGTTCTGTTCCCGCGTTCGGGAATGTTGAGACCGATATCTCACTGAAACCCTCTCCACCAGTGTAGTCTACCTACAAACAGCGTCCCGCCGTGCTGGAATTCTGAAGTCACCCCTTGGATACGTAAGCCATCAGTGTCACACTCTTGGCTTGGCGACACGTTTTGGTGCCTTTTCTCGAAAGTCCCCTAAAGAATCCCCTGTGACGTCGTTCTTTAGAAACCAAGGTCTCAGTCGAGTGAAAGGCCCATCGACGATGCTCGGAGATGATCGCCGAGGTTCGGCTTCCTGTAGCAGATGAACTGAGTTCTCTGTGGATGGGGCTATATTGCAGAAACATCATGTCCTGAGATCTGGCTCTGGCAAACTATGTTCTTAGGGCAACGGGTCTACAGCTACGCGCGAGCTCATCCAGCAATCTGATTTCCGATCCCAGACTACAAGCACATACGTCCTTCCATAGGCTCCTTCGGTCTTTTGCGGGGTGAGATAGGATAGAGTAGAGTTTTGTCCAACTTGAGCTACAAGCCGGTATCTGTGTGCTCTCTGAATCCAGAGCTTTGCTGCCTCATAGCTTGATGCCATCTCCTCCATCATTCACGCCATTCTCGTGGGGAGAGATTCTGAACTGTATGCCGATATGGGCAATCGGTATAGGCAACATGTTGAGGACTCATATTCTAACTAAGTTTGAACGTCTAATACCTTGCTCCGAAACGGATATCGGTACAATTTACCCAAGACCCCCTTTTGTGGGCGTCTATCAAGTGCCGCAGGACACTGGCCTGACCCGTGTATCTAATGCTCGAGTCCCTTTTCTTCATCTTGTTGACCGATATCCAAACATCATACATCGTCAGCCGTCATACATCATTACCTCACTCTCTGGAGCTCGAAATCCTCGTCCCTACCACCATCCATATCAGCCAACATCGGTACAGCCTCCGTATCCCGCACATTGGCAACCTCCACATCCGCCTCCCTCTTGGGCGCGGGCGCTCTCTTCGTCAGCACCACCCACAGCGCACTTCCGATAATCAGCCCGCAGCCCGCAAGGCTCATCCATCCCATGACGTTGCCAAAGATGAACCGGTCGAACCCGGCCGCGAAGAGCATATGTGTGTAGACCATGGCGTTCGCCCTATTCGACCGATCCGTGCCGAGCCCCGCCGTGAGGAGGAACTGCATAACGAACCCGAACACGCCCAGCAACACGAGGAAAAGCCACTGCCGTCCCGTCTGTGGCAGGCCCCATCGCAGAGCGGGCTGTCCAATCTCAAGCATGGGCGCGGTGGTAAGCACGACGGTGCAGACAATGGTGCACCACGTCGCAAAGTAGTTCACCGAGATGAGCGGATGCGCCCTCTTCCCGATCCACCGAATCGTCGTGAATGCCCCGGCGGCGCCGAACACACCTACTATCGCAACTCCAATGGCCGTCAGCCGCTCCGCCGTCGTAGCCTGGTGATTCAGTCCCGGCAGCGTCGAGGTCATTGTCCCGTTGTTCAGGCCCGGGGTTTCCGGCGCGGTGGCGGCGGCGGTGGATGTCGAGTCGCCGGAGAAAAGCGAGGTTGGATGGGCGATGAGGACGACACCGAAGAAGGCGATGACGGTGCCGATCTGCTCGTTTCTGGTGAACGGTTCGCGGAGGGCGAGGTAGCATACGTAGCCGGCGACGCTGGGGGCCAGGAAGGTGATGACGGTGGCCTCGGCGAGGGGGAGATACATCATCGAGTACCACATGCCAAAGATGCCGAAGAAACCGGTCACGCCTCTGGCAACGAGAAGCCATCTGATTTCCTTCTTTCCAAAGGGGAAGTCGGGCGTCTTCATGTAATACATGTATAGGCAGCAACAGACCATCGTGACGCTTTGCCGGGCGAAGAGCACCTGGAGTGGGTGCATTCCTTCGCCTTCGAGCTCGAGGAGCCTTGCTGTGAGGTTCATCAGAGCACCGAATAATTGTGATAATGCCACCAAGACGACGCCCTTATTGGCCTGCCAGAATGTCGCCAGTTTCGTATTCCTTTGAGAACTCTGTAATATTGGTGGAGGGTACTCTGCCCCTGGTAACGGTGACGTCCTCCCATTTTGGAACGAGCTTGTAGAGAATCTGCGGAACGAGTCTGGATCTGGTAGGGCTGAGAGTCCCTTCCCGTGGTCGTGTGACCAGGACATCTTGCTGTCTACTGACAACCTCCGACTAGCCTCATTCGTGTGCTCTGGCTCTCCGTCAGACCTCGCCTTGGACTCGGTGGTTCGAGGAACGAATAGGTTATCATGGTTCTGTTTCTGTTCGAACATGGCGGCTAGGTGAGGTCATGTCTATAGGTCCAAAGCCATGAAGAGTATAAGCAGTAGAGCCGGCGTACGTAAGTAGGCTATATCTCCGGTGCGAGAAGTGATCTCTGCCAGCTCACTCGATACTCGAGATAGCGTGTGTAAGAGTGGACTCTTCACTTGAGGAAAGATGGACAGAGATTTCTGACCAGGCAATGAAGCGGGGTGTAGTCACAAGGAAAGAAAAAAGGTGCAGAAAGTAAAGGGTTCCCCATCGTTCATCGGAAGTGGGGAGGCTGGAGTAATGTAGTGTATGGAGCCCTGCTTGTCAGTCACTCAGTCAGTCACTCGGGATAGTTCCTCGCCAGAGCGGAGACGGGGGCGGAGGTGGGAGCGGAGGAGCATCGATGGGCAAAACAGGTTGGTTGATTGCGTGCGGCGGCGTGGGCACTTGCTACCTGGCGTGCCTGCGTAGCCCACCATCACGTCTCCCACCCGTGCATCCCCGTCGTGCCTGTCTTCTCTTTACTGGGTGTTGGTGGCAGATGCGCGTGAGAAGATGACCCCCTCTGAAATCCCCAAAAGTGTGTCAGTCAAGTCAGTGTCGGCGAATGCATCAGTGCGGATTCGCTAGAGGAGGGAAAAGAGCTGCGGGTGGAGTGGGAATCCCCCAGCATCGAATGGTCATGAACCAACCCACTTGGGAAACGCCCAGAGGATTCGAGAGAAACCAACCAACCAACCCCCCGCTACCGCTAGCCCGGCGTCAACCCGCTGGCAAGGGCGCCCTTTTGTTCCGCTGATGCGCCGCCGACACCGAGAAAACAGAAACAGTATGATCATCATTGGGTGTTACCTGTAGACTGATTAGGTAGTTTCCTCCTCCCCGATATCGCAACCACACCATCTTCCCAGGTTTTGCCAGAGAAGGAAGGCACTGAGAAATGCGGCGGATGTCGTTTGCCGGGGGCTGAACCAGTCCACTTTCTCGGCGCGGATCCACTCGCACCAATACCGACAGCGGCGGGCCCGGCACCGATTCGGAGCAAATGGGGTTGGATGACTTGGGCAGATGTCAGAAACCCGTGTTTCTGGTTGCTTGTAAACTTTAAAGTTTAAGCCGTTTGGATGCATGTCGAAATATGTAAGCGGCTGAACCTTGATGAATTTCATGTCATGTGGACTTTCGAGTATTGTCTCTGCTAGGCTGTAGATAGGCTGTGGCACCGAAAGTCCAATACAGTACAATTCGCGCAAGTGGTCTTCGTCCACAAGACTAACGGTCTCAACCAAATGGCCCTCTCTCTCAACTCGGTCACGGCAATAAACATCATATATAAACAGATGATTTTACATGGTCCGACTGAAAGCCCTTGATGCTTGATCATTAGACAAAACATCGTTCAACATGCATGGGTACCTAGCTCATCGCTACTAGATCTCGGCTAGTCTCCGAAACTCAGTTGCTATCTCTAGGGGAATTTAGCCGCCTTTCGTAGTAAGTCATCCAAAAACCGATGGGTGACCATTTGACTATCATGAATATTATGCTTTTTGTCCTTCTTAAGCCAGGCCCCTTTGTAATGACGATATCAAAGTCAATGCCCCAAGACGACCATCCAATAAACGCCCAATGCTATGCCTCACCCCAAGAAATAAGAAGAGCCCAAATGGCCGTACTTTCCACCCATATTACCCGGACGGTGACTCACTTCCCGTCCCCGTCCAATCTGACCCTCTTCGACGGTCGTCCCGCGACCTCACTCTCGGCATCAGCGTCGTCATCGGCCTCGCCCAGCTCCTCCTCTTGCTTCACCGCCGCGTCCGCCGCACTCGAAGCTTCACCCGTACCGTTCGTGGTCTTATCCTTCTTGCTGTGCTCCTGGTCCGCGGCATCCTTCATGAGCACCGCCTCGTCGTCCTTTGTGAAAATCTTCTTGGCCGACTCGATCTCGCCCTTCTTCTCAAAGACCTCCTGGACCTTTCCGAGAAAGGCGTCGTTCTTGCGAAACGCGAACTCAAAGTCCTCGTATTTGACCTTTTGCCTCCCCGCGTAGTTGGCCGCGCGCGTCGCCTCGAAGGCCATGCCTTGGATGAACTCGGTTACAATTTCGTCGAGCACGCGAATCGTTTCGGGGAGCGGGTTCCTCACGTCGCCGTGGGCGTACAGTAATTGAGCCACTGCAGAGTGCGAGCTTGATTAGTTTGATGCCCCAGTGTCGGGTGTCACCGAAGGCAGGAACATACGTTCGTTGTGGCTAAAGTTCATTTTGCCAACATTTTTGGCGGCGCGGGCGCGAGGCTCCATGATGGGCAGATAATTCCCGATTATCCGATCGTAATGAGCAAGGTGTTTCTAATTTTCGATGTATTCGCTCTGGGGAGTTCGCAAAGCTCTTTCGTGATGCGCGTAGGTTCGGTGTTCGGCTTGCTAGGGTAGAGTCGTCGTGGACAGGTTGAAAGGTAGGTAGGTATTTGGGATTGAGTGACAGACTTCACGGCATAGGAAGACAGGAAGGTGCCTTATCTTATCGCAACCTTGCAAGCTGCCCGAGCCTCAGGTTCTACCCAGGCCTGGTCCAGAACACCCCTGCTGGCTGTGGGGGTGGCTCCCTGTCATCCAAATGTGGCTGATGCAGAGCTCCAAGCTCAGGCCACATGTGGCACAAACTCTCCGGGCCACCTTGTCCACTGAGGAGAGGCTGAAGACAACCGCACCCCTAGGACATCTGTATCGCGACCGTCAAGCTAGATTGTCCATTTACCTAGAGTCCTCCGTTCAAGCCGCCACTTACCCTCGCAGAGGGACTCAACTTGCCAAAATGGTATGTCAAGCTCCGCGACCATGCTCAATATAACGAAGTCATACTAAACCAGAAACAGACCGCACTATTCAACTTCCAGTCGCTCCTCCTCGTCATTCTCCTCCTCATCTGCACATGCGCATACGCGCACCAGCTCATGCCCGCCATCATGGACCGGAACAAGGACGGGTAGAGTCACTGATAGCATGCGAATATTCAGGAACGCGTTCGCTAATATTGTTCGACAGTATCATGGGCATATTTTGGAAATTCGCAAGAGTAGGCGAACGGTTAAGTCCATACATCAGCTTATGCTGTGTCGTCATGGCGGCAAGTCTCCCCCTCCCTGGCCGTTCCCCTCTGCAATCCTAACTGGGTTACGATAGGTCTCCATGCTCATCAACTAAATACTCAATCCCTCCTTGTATGATTGCGCGCGAGCGGAACACCTCTCGACGGGGGTACGAAAAGACTTGTTATATGGTTTGGAGTTGGTCTGGGAAATGAAACATTGCTTTGTTAGATGGGTGACAGCGCCAGGCGCAAGAAAGAGGATACGGCTATGGTCAATGAGGCCCGCATAACGATATCAGTAGTATATGGGTACTGTCGGTACTTGCCGGACGACGGCAGAAAATAATGTAAGAAATTCCGCCACCATCGACGGTAACTCCGGTTCTGGTAGCGGCGTTGCTCTGGATCCTGGAAACGACGGTCTGTCTGACTACAAACTCGAAAACAGATCAGCGTCTTCTCGTACGCTTTTGGCGGTTCCTCATCACTCAGAGAGTGATTTCTCACGGTCCTGGTCTGGAAAGTCGTTGAGGTTTATAAGCTTTGCATCTGAGATGCAAGACTCCGTGGCAGCAACGAACTCTAGACAAAGTCCTGGTCCATGTTAGTATCTGTGATATGAAGTAACACAAGAGATATGTGGTGGTTTTTTCCCGGCTTTACAGGCGCAAAAGATCGACCTTAACGGGATCAGGCTTTCAAGGGAAACCACACGATACGGTACACTTTTTAACTACACGGTACGCGCAATGTGCCCCAAGCACGCGCTCAACTCAATATGGTGATTTCGATACGAAAACCGCCATGCAATTCGGGATGGGCAAGCTGCCTCACGCGGCGGCGCTGGCCGGCAAGGTCGACCGCAGAGGTCGGCCAACACAAGAGATATATTTTCCATACTTTCGTATGGAGCGTAGCCTTGATATTTGCAAACATTATACCAAATCGCTGTCAGTCAAAGTGGTTCACCATCTCGTGTTTGCCAGAGTGCCACGTATGCTTGAGAATCCCTCCCCAGGACTGGGCCAACTGCATCGGTGATGTTCATACTAGTGTCCACCTTGGTCCTTCGGTTCTAATCTATGATATCTTGTCTTTGAATAGCATATGTCGTCTTCCACCTTCTCTCCTCCTACTTTGTTCGAAGCTTGGCCGAAGGAACCAGCTACTTCGAAGCGCTAGCGGGACCGATGGGAATAGTCTTAGACAATGTTATCTCAATGAACCAGAGCACCTCGACTATGCCCAGATGCTTACTACAGAGGTATACATTAATCTGTTGGCATCGTCCATGAAGATGTAGATGCTACGTCAAATCAGAGAGCAGTGCAGAATAACTCGGCGTCGTGAACTAGACAGCAGATTGGGTCGTGAGCACAATTACATTGTGGTGACGGAACGCGATACATGTAAGAGAGTTCATGAGCGTATGCAAGGGAGTAAAAAATAAAAAGTTCGCTGCAAACTCACTCTTCTCTGGAGAAAGCTCAAATTGCCAGAACATGGAAACATTGTGGGCTTCAGTACCCCACGCGCAGAGCTGATCGGTCTGGACTATCGAGAGGTGGCCAGAACGACTCGTATGCCAAAGTACTAGAAACTAAGTCAACAATGTAACTTGATAATCGAGTCTCGAATTCGGTATCCGGATTACTAGTCCTATCTCCAGTCCTCTCCAGCAAACAAACAACAGTTTGAGAAAGAATTGAAAGACCCTGTGGACAGGCAGATTGCATCTCTGCACGTATGGAATGTGCGCATGTCGCTACGGGTATAGTGAGAAAAGAGAATTTGCCCAAAACCTTGCATTGCAATTTCAATCAACGGTTGTGACGTGGCCGAGGCCGCCTAGTTGCGGCAAAAGCTGACTGTTGAGGGATGTTTATCTGAACCAGCAGTTGGCGATGCTCGTCGCATGGCAATCCCCGGAGAGTCTTCCTCCAGCACCGCAGTAGCTACTGATGGTTTGTATCAGATACCGGTTTATAAACTCTTTAGATGTTATGTTGAATAGTAAGGAACTGGTAAGCCGGATTTTAGCCCTTGGATAGAACGACGGACAAGGCGCTGAGCTTTCTTAACCCCTCCGACGTATCCTTGGTATTTACCACCATGCTGCGATGAGAATACTAGGCTCTAAGCTATTCTTGAAGTCTAGGTCCTTCATATAGCTGCCGGTCTAACTTTCTTCTCCGGTATACCACTGGATAACTCTGCTAAAAACGTCCCATGGGCACAAAGGGAAGGGAAGATAGTAAAGGAGTTGAGTGAGGATGATCCAGGCCGTAACAACTTCTTGACCACAACCTCGTCAGGGCCTTCGGCAACACAGAATGGAACATGATCCGGAAACCGTGCAGCATAATCATCGGTCGAGTGGGGAAAGCGGCCCGGGAAGTTTGAGCTCACACCTTGCGAATACCTCTGTACTTAATAACCATTTAGCAAGGTAGCGTATACTAGCATACACGCGTCTCTTAAAGTTAGTCCTATATCATGATTGTGTAATCGCGCAGAGCTTTTGCTGGAAAAAGGCGCCTGAACAGATTGTATATTGGCAAGACGTCTAATAATCATGATAATTCACCACGGAGCTGGAATCATAAGTGACTTACGGTGAGTTTTCCAACAACGCCTCCTGGAAGCTGGGACTTTAAGCAGTTGGCATTCAAGTGAACGCACACAGTACAAACATATAACGAGCAATCACTACAAATTGGGACTATAGACAATCTTCCGTGATCGCGGAAAGCCTGATACGAAACACCAAACTACATTGAAGAATCAGCTGTTGCAACAGAGGTAGACTTAACTTACCTGATTATACATCGTACCCAGTGAGTAAGTCTGCAAACTCCCATTATTGCAAATCCAGCCTACCTAACGTGCAGTGAAACGCCATCACCACACCAGACCTGACGTCTGGAATGCACCTACTCCTCCACGTACAAGTCAAAGCCACAAACACCATCAGAAACCGCCCAAAACTCCCCCAAAGGGAAAGAGTACATGAATGGGATACACACAAAACCACGTCCCGGATCGATACGTGAACAAAACTCACCGATTGGCTATCACCCGGCATCCGCATGTGATTGTGATTGTGGCTGCCTCAAGACCGTTCCAGCGTTATTTTTCTTTTTCTTCTTGTACAACAACAGTGGCACATGCTTGCTTTATGCGGGTGCAACTTCACAGCGGACACAGCCGGTAGACAAGCATCCACACGTGAACATGCCAATCACATAACACAATGGATGATGGAATGGGGAAAAGAGGGAGCAAATAGTAAATGGCAAAATGTGACTCTTTGTTTTCTGTCTCAGCAATGCAAAAAGTGCGCTATGTATCTCTGGATATGACCACCTCCCCATGCAACGCCGAACCAAATAATTCGTCGCGGCAAAAGCGCTCGCGAGCTTGATGCTTTGATACCCCAAACACCGTCTAAAGGTCCCATAAACCCCCCATAGCCAAAAAGAGTCTTGCGAGAAATAGCTGCGAAATGCAGATTAAAATACTGTAAAAAGGGTATTGTTGTTCGGCCAGACATAGTAGAGATGCCCCTAGGGCGTGTCGGGTCGCTCGTCTTTCTTTGAGACCAGCATCCCTTTTGATTAGATGGAGTTGTGTTTTGAGATGTAGGATGAATGCCTTAGAACTGGTTCATTTCCATCAGGCTGTCGGCCTGCTCTTCTTCCGTGTATGCGAGGCCGGCGAAGACTCTCCAGTGGAGGATACCAAGGTGTGCCAGCCTAGTCGCCATGTCCTCGATTCCGCCGTCGTCCCGGGTCTCGCGGTTGCCATCAGAGACCGAGCTCTCGCGGTCCGGACTGCCGATGGATCGTCCCGAGCCTTGGGCACGGCCGCCAGTGGCCACGGTGAAAAGACCAACTCCGGTCAGCCCGCGGAACTCGCGCACCCGCTTCTGAAGCTCCATCAAAAGCCTGTGGTGAAAGTGTGCCTCGGCCTCTTGAAACAATGGGCTGTTGATGTCACAAACGTGGGAAGCGAGCTTAGACTCAAAAACCGGTAGCATGTCGGCGGGAGCGTTGGTGAATCGGAAAATTTGGAGGGCCAGCGAGGGAGCAATGGCTTCCCAGCGAGACTCGTGCCTGCGCGGCGGCGGCGAGGTGTGGAGCAGAGCAACCAAAGAGTTGTAGACGTCCCTGGCCTTGGCGAGAGATTCGGTGGGATCGGACGTAGGTTGAGGCGGCAGGATGAGAGAAGATCGTGGCGATGAAGTGGCAGAGTCGCCCGAGCTAAAGGCGAGACTCGACGGCCGCGAGGGCGGAGTGTTGAAATTGAAGTCGGGAGTCATGGAAAGAGGACGGCTGCGAGGCTCGTCGTCGAACTGTGAGAAGGAGCTGGCGAAGAAGGGTGCGTTCAATCGGCCGACTCTCTCCAGGTCGTCGTACATTCGCATGCAGACCTCCAAGTTGATGGCATCCAACATATCCGCCCGGAGCTTGCCAAATCGCTCTTCGTCAAAGATGAAGGTGTTAGGCAACGCCTTTTCGGGTACCGAGGGCAAGACCAGGCGCGAGATGGCTTCAAAGAAGACCGACATCTCACCGAAAGAATGAGCGGCAATGGGAGACACAGAAGCAGCATATCTCTGCTCGGCATCCCTATACCAGGCATTTGCTTGAGTGACGTCTAGCTTGCTTCCCTGAATCTTTTTCTCGAAGAACTTGCGCTCAAATGGAATAGTTCCCTCAATAAGAATCGGGCGAAGGCAGCGAATCTGGTGGTTGGCGACGTCGAGCTTCATAGCCTCCAAGACACTGAGCAGACTCTTCATGCCCTTGACAAGCTCATCAACGTTGTTGGTCCTGTTTCCATTGCTCAGCTGCGTATACATCTGATCCACCCACTCATCACGCATCGGAGCGCAGTGTGATTTGAGTACTCGGGAAAGCCAAAGAGCCAGCTTTTCCAAGTCTGCGATTCCCCTGTAGAACTGCTGCATCAGCAAATCGACATTGAGCCCCTCATCCAAGTAAACTCTGTCTCTCTGAGGCACCAAAGTCTGAATGATTTCCTTGACTGCCTTCAACAAAGACGGCAAACACCAATCATCATCCTGGCCGTGTGCGGAGAAGAAGGACTCTGGCTCGCTCACAAACTGAATGAGCTGCTCTTGAAGGGTGTTCCAGAAAAGGTCGGCCTTGTGCTGTTTCCTCTTGCCCTTGTCGCCGTCCAGATTGGGGCGGAAGTGCAACTCCGGGTCAAAGTTGATATCGTGACGCAACTTTGGGTTGTGCATAATTTTGCAAACATCTAACTCGCTCAGGGTCACCTTTGTCACGGGGGGCTCAATCGGCCGAGAGATCCGGGGAGCGGAAGCCTTAACCTCCGACACACTTCCGAAGTAGCTGTCTGTCGGCGCATTCGGCGTTGACACAGTTGAACTGTTGGATGATGCTCTGGCCATGAGAGGTGCGGTCGTGGGCGTTGATGTGTTTGAGGGTGGGTTGAAGCCTCTAGGAGAGACTTGTGACGATTGCTTGAACTGGGGTTTCGCCTCCTCTTGTTGTGTCTGCTTTCCGGTCTGCGGCTCAGACTCCTGAATGGGCTCGTTCTCGCCGTTGCGGGTCGATGTTGACATATGGCGACGGTTGCTTTCTATGCCGCCACCGGCTCCTTGGTCACCCGCCATCTTTGATATTATCGTTCTGTCGATTTAACGTGCGTTATACGTTCTGCTCAACTGGCCTTCGAATCGTCGGAAATTGCAGTTTCAATGATATTGGTCAGAAACCAGATCTAGATCCTCCAAGGTTACACGCTGGAAATCGACGTTGGAGCAAGTTGCAAAGCCCAGGAAACCGAAGAAGGTTGGGACGTTCTGGTGTGGCTGGTGTGCCCCGAGGAGGCAAGTTAGCAAGAGTATATCTAGTCGGAAGGCCGCAAACAAGCATCGGCCGTTTTGTGGGACGAAGAGAGTCTCGTGAGCGACACACACGCGGGCGAATGCAGGTGCTGGTTCCCGGAGTTCTGTGTAATGAACTAAGGAGTGCCAAAGGGAGGGGGAAAAGGACGCCCGCAAGTTTGCAACCATCTATGGCCGGGTAAGCCAAGTAGGCTTGTTGTAACTTACCGAATGTGATAAAATACTGCAGCAAGAGCGGTAATAGATGGGCGGGGGGCGGGATGCAGCAGGAGTTGCAGTCGTCGAGTACGAGAATCGGCGGTGGAGGTATCGGCCGAGGGATGTTTGCTCAAGCAGAGAAGCGCAGCGCAGCGCAGCAGGAAGGAGCGACTGGACCACAGAAGGAGTCCGTTGTGGGAGCGTGCTTGCTGCAGAGGCACGGCTGAGAAGCAAACAAGCGGCCAAGTCACTTCTTGAAATGTCGTTGGTTGGATCTGACGGGAACTCAGAGCCTGAGGATGCGGTCGAGAGGGTGTACAGTATATATCGGCTGTTGGTCGGGTCTTGTCGGCGAGGTAAGAAGACCGCAGTAGTTGGAGGTTGTAAGAGTGAGAATTCGTGAGAGGAAGGAAAGGGTGAAAGTCTATTGGAGGGCGAGCGAGGGGGGGGAGGTTGTTGTTTAAGGAAGTAGGAGCAGGAGCAGGAGCATGAAGCAGCAGAGACGGAGATTGCTCAGGGGGTGTGGAATATCCAGAGGTAATGAGGGACAGGTCTGGAGTGAGTGTGCGAAAGAGAGAGCGCAAGAAGCAAGCCAGTGAGGATATCCGTCTGTTAATTACAAATTGGGGGAGGAAATTGCAAACGGAGAAGGAAGGAAGAAGAAGAGAACGAGTACGTCTATCATATGGGCAGGGACGTGGGAGAGAGGCAAGAGAAATACGGTCGGTAAGTACGGTCAGGTCAGGCCCCAGCCCAGGTCAGGTCAGGTCAGGTCAGTGCAGTACGGAGTATGCGGCCGGGGAAGGGATGAGCAGAAAAAAAAAAGGAGTATGGCGAGTGTGAGTGAGAGTAGTGAGAGAGCGCCAGGAGGACTGGAGCATGTTAAAGCCAAACAATAATATTAAGACGGTAAGGTATGGGAGGGTAGGAACGGATCAGGTACAGATACCGAATCGAGGTACGTACATTCTACGTAGAGTCGCGACGCAGAGAGCAGGTACCTGAACATGGAAGAAGACGAGGCAAAAGGCGCGGCATGGAGGTGAGATGGGTACGGAGTACATGCATCCAATGTGTACCTTACGGAGCACCTACACAGTACCTAAGGTAGTGTGTGTGTGTGTGAGAGAGAGAGAGAGAGAGAGCCGTAGCGTCCATCAAGGAGAAAGCGCCCAGGGAGGTCACTAGTCATCCGTGGACTGGTGGAGAAGTATTTTGGACTTGGCTTCCATATCCTGACCCTACATTACTCTACTGCATAGTAGCGTACAGAGGGTGTTGGCATACTAAACCGGACGGTGAAGGCTCCCCCCTTTGCCTCTCAGTTTCTCTGAAAGGGCCACCTCACCTAAGAAAGGGGGAGGGGAGGATGGGCCTCGAGGTAAGTAGTGAGGCAGGGCAAGGTACTCCGTACTCCGTACATCAGCTTCATCATTAGGTTGAGTCTCCATAAGTGACGGACGGTGGTCCCAGATCGGGGTACGTACCGTTCTCCGCCGCCGGGCCAGGAACTAGGACCCAAATGTCCAAGGGGAATATGCGCTTGGATGGGTTGGGGGAACTTGGGTGAAATTGCTGGCAATGCATCCTCAATGCAGACTCACACTTCAGAAAGAGAGAGAGAAAGTGCATGCCAGACCAGACCCTCCACACGTTCCCACGCTCCCACGCTCCCACACTCCCACACGGCACACGCTACACACCCGGAGCTTCATCTTTTTAGCGGCAGCACCCACTGGCCACTGGGCCATCCATCCTCTCGGCCCCCCCCCCCCCTTCCCCTCCCATTCTGGACTGTTACTGTGTTGTCACTCACCCACTGTACCCTGCCCTGTATGCCTGACGATGAGTACAAGTATGTGTGTGTGAGTGTGTGTGTGTGTGCGTGCGTGTTTGTGAGTGTGTGTGGAAGGAGAGTTCCAATGTGAGCACGAGGCCAGGGCAGCAAGTAAGGTAGTCACTCAGGCTCCATACCTCTAGGAGCTATGTGGATGGGTGTTCGCCGTCGAGCACTGATAATGAAGGCAGAGTTGAGGGTGTTGCCCATGTCCGTTTCGTTGTGTAGGATATGCAAGGCCAGAAGTATCCGTTCCGTACTCTCCCCATACGTAGTTCTCACAAAAGCAACTCATCGGGTACATTGTTCATGTACGTGCCAGGCCGTGTCATGCGTCCTCCCTTCCTCTTGTCCAGCTCTTCCCTCCCATCACATCTCGACTCGGCATCCCTTCCAGTTCCCGTCCGTGGTCTTTTGGCACTTTGCCCTTTTCTCTGTCAGGTACGGTACGCCTCATCAACGCCTCAAGCCGCAGAGTCCCTTCACTCCCCCTCCATGTTCAACCCACTACTCGCTGCTAGTCAGCCTTAGCGCGTCATCGTCGAGAGGTCTCTTTGTGATGTCGTTCCCCCCGTCGTCTCCGGGGCCTTGAACAAGCCATGGCCACCGCCTATTGCCAACACCACCCAACCCGCCCACCGCCCATCGCCCGACCGCCGGCAGTAACAACCATCGGCGGCATCGGGAGTGGCAGTGGTAGTGGCAGTCGCCGTAGCAAGCAGCAGCGGCCTGCAGTAGGATAGTGCAAATGAACACCTCCTCGTCAAGTAGTTTCTCGGGGTCTCACCGAGTGAGAAACCATACGTACTGCGTACATGCAAGCCGCATACTCGTCTACTACGCCACGCTATATAGAGCGGGCCAGTACGTGTGTCAACCTCCGCTCCGGCCGATACGGATACATGGTCGTTGCCCCAGCAGAGTGGCACCGGAGGCGTAACGACGCGGGGATCGGGGTCCAAAGAGAAGGCGCCTTTCCGGTCGGCAGTACCGTGAGTAGCGAATGGAGGCATCAGGAACAGCAGTTGCTCTCGCTGGTGCCACTGAAGTCTGATGGTGCTGCTGCGGCGGCAGGCCTCGTCATTTGCCGTTGGCCATTCGTACACGGTAGTGCATCGTCAACTTAACCCCCGTCAGGTGGACAGTTGACTGAGGGAACTCTGAGTCTGCTGCCACTCCCAAATTACAGCCCACACACTGACGGATGGCTGCTGAGACGAGATAACTATCCATGCTGCCATGCTGCCATGCTGCCATGCCCATGCCATGCCGTGCCATGCTCATCGCACGCTGGGGCGATTAGCCCCAAGGCCATCCCTGCGCCGGGCCGGGGGATGGACGAACAACTCGTTTGGTACTCGGGTCTCTTGGAGTCTTGGGTCTTTGGTGGTCCACTCGGGCCTGTCCCTACCGGCTGGAGAGAGTCAAAAGAACCACACCCATGCGCCTGTCGGTGATCTCGAAGAACGGAACGCAAGATGGATACCTCATGGAACATGCCAACCAGCCTCCCTTCTTTGCCTGTCTTCGCCTGGCCTTGTTGACTTCCCCAGAATAGCTGTTTCGAATGGGAAAAGGGGAACAAGTGGTGGCGCTGGACGGGCCAGGCCGATTAAGCGTTGTAGGGGCGACCACCATGTCCCCAAACACCAGAGTCTTGTCCAAAAAGACGGCGTATCCAGTACTTCGAACGAGCACTCCGGACTTGCGGCGAGCAGGCGACTAGTTGCGAGGAGAGTTGAAAGAACCTGGACTCATGGTCTTCGCTGGCGCTCCGCCATAAGACGGCAAAGGATGGACGGGCCGCGGCATCAACTAAAAAGACGACTTCGGGCCAGAACTTTTGACTCGACTGGCGAGACAAACAAGCGCGCTGCGAGATGAAGCAGCAAAGAAAGGTATGGTGAATGAGTCGTCAGGTGTGTGCGGCAAAAAAAAAAAACAAAAAAAAAACTGTCAAAGGCAAAGCATCCGTAAGAGGCGGCGGCGGCGCGCGGCGACGGCGAGTCAATGAACTTCGTATTGATCGACCAGCGGCACATTTTTCCAATTCCGGTTGCTGCAGTGTGGACGAGAAGGACAGGCTCAAACTGCTGCAGCAGGCGAGACTCTGCACCCACACGAGGTCATGGTGGACGCCGGACTGCTCGTGTGCCTCTACTTTCTGCCTCACGGCCGTGGAGGTCGCGGTACACCGTCATTGTGTTGCGAACAAGTGCAAAAGATGAAGGTAAAAAGCCGGCCGGTTGGGGGTGGGGGGTCAAAACGGGATTGTGCGTCCGTTCGCTCGCAGACTTGCGTAGTCTGCCAGGAGTCCAGGACTGAAATTCCGGATGGATCGCACGACCATGCAAGGACGGTACGGTAGTATAGACTATAGAAGCTGGAGGACCGTCAGCATCACACATGAGTAAAGCGCCCCTTTCTGCTAAGGATCCGTCATCCATCCATCCATCCACTCGAAATATGTGTCCAAGCGGTGATGATATATTTTCTTGGCGTCCTGGGGGAACGTGTCGAACTCGAGGATATGAATATGAGGATCTGAAGGATCACGAATCCAAGACCAAGGCCAAGACCAAGATCAAGTCTAGTGTATGAGTAAGAGGGAACCAGCGAAAAAAAGCAAAGAGAAGAAGATCATCAGTGGTGCGCTAGGCGTGGGGTCCCTACTCCAACCAGGGGCCGGGGAGGCACGAGGGTATGGTCCAGGGGGAGGATAATACGGGAG